GAGGCAGAGGTTGCATTGAGCTGAGATTGCACCACTGCATTCCAGCTTGGGTGACAGAGCAAGACTCCATCTCGAAAAAAGAAATTATCTTCCTTTTGCTTCACATCCAATTGATAGTTTTGCTAGGAATAAAATTTTATGTTAATGATATTTTTCACTCTTAGTAAGTTCCCTTTCTAATTAAGTCAACTAGAGTTGAATTTTGAGTATTCCAAATGTGTTGTTTGTTGTTTTTTGCCTTCTGGTTTCTAATGTTATTATTTAGAAGTTCAAGGCCATTCTAATTCCCATCTTTTTTAAAAAGCAATTTTATTGAGGTGTAATTCATATACCCCCAAGGCATTTGTGTTTTTTTTGTCGTTTTTTTGTTTTTTTTTTGAGACAGGATCTCACCCTGTTGCTCAGGCTGCAGTGCAGTGGAGCAATCACAGCTAAACTGCAGCCTCCGCCTCCCAGGCTCAAGTGATCCTCCCATCTCAGCCTCCCCAGTAGTTGAGACCACAGGTGTGAGCTACCATGCTTCGCTAATTTTTGTTTTTGTTTTTGTAGAGATGGGGTTTCCCCATGTTGTCCAGTCTGATGTTTGAAGTCCTTGGCTCAAGCGATCCACCTGCCACAGTTTCCCAAAGTGCCAGGATTACAGGAATGAGTCACTGCACCTGTCCATACCCCAATCTTTAGATGTGGCATTCTTTGGGGTTTTCTCCTCTCTCTGAAATCTTGTTAGGTACCCCTCCACCTCTCCTACCTCTAGGCCAATGGCTACAAGTTTTCTGGGGACATTGCTCCCACATCAAAACACAGTTCTCCATACTCCATAAGGTTTAAACTAGGTATCATAATTATAGAATCTCCCTGCTACTTTCATTCAGCCAGTGGTTTATTGAGCATGTACTGGACAATTGCTGGACAACTGGGTGAGCTGTCTTCTAAGTCTGGATTTATAATAGGTCAAAAAAACAGGGCTCCTAACCTCAGTAAAGCTTGTATTATAGCAATAGATAAGTGGAAATAGATCAAACAATTTCAAATTTTGCTACTTTTTTTTTTGAGATGGAGTTTCGTATTGTCCAGGCTGGAATGCAATAGCGCAATCTCAGCTCACTCCAACCTCTGACTCCCAGGTTCAAGCGATTCTCCTACCTCAGCCTCCTGAGTAGCTGGGATTACAGGTGTGCACCACCACACCTGGCTAATTTTGTATTTTTAGTAGTGATGGGGTTTTGCCACGTTGGTCAGGCTGGTTTCAAACGCCTGATCTCAAGTGATCCACCTGCCTTGGCCTCCCAAAGTGCTGGGATTACAGGTGTGAGCCACTCTGCCGGGCCAAATTTTGCTATTTATGAATAAAGAGAGTGTTGTGATAGTGAAGTATGAGGGTAGTCAAGGGGCGTCCCTCTGAGAACTGAAAGATGGGAATCAGGATGGAATGTTCTGTCAGAGTTCTTGTGCTGGCCTTTGAGGCTCACCTGATTAGGGTTACCTGTCTCATGTCACCTCTCAGTCCCTTCCACCCCCTCCAGCCTCCTCGCTGTTCCTTGGACACACCAGACATGCTGCAGCTTTGAAGCCTTTGCTGTGGCTGCCCCCTCTGCGGGAACGCCCTCCCCCGACATATACTGTGGCTCATTCCCCCACCTCCTCCACGTTTCAGATGCTGTCTTCTCACTAAGCCATTCCCCCGCTCTGATGTAGAAAATGGCAAATGCACTCCCCAACACCTCTAATCCCCTCTCTTGACTTTCTTTTCCCTGAGTGCTGATTTCCATCTGACATACTTTATTTATTCATTCATTGGAGACAGGGTCTCACTCTGTCACCCAGGCTGGAGTGCAGTGGCACAATCATGGCTCACTACAGCTTTGATCTCCTGGGCTCAAGTGATCCTCTCACCTCGGCCTCCCGAGTAGCTTGGACTACTTGGTGTACACCACCCACGTCCTGGCTGACTTTGTTCGTTTTTTTGTAGAGACCGTGTCTTACTATGTTGCCCAGGAGTTGAACTCCTGGACTCTAGTGATTCTCAAGCATTGGCCCCCCAAAGGGCTGGGATGACAGGCATAAGCCGTCGCTTCTGGCCTGACATACTATATTCACTTGTCATGTTTACAGTCTCTCTTCATTAACATGTAAGTTTCCCAGCGGCAGAGATTTGTATACTTTTCATTCCTGTCTCTTCAGCTCCAAGTGCAGTGTGTGGCACATAGTAGGTGTTTGATAAGCACTTGTTGAGTGAACAGGTAGCTCTGTGTGGGAAATAGTTTGGTATATTGTGCAACAGTAGAAGGCCAGTGGATGGGACAGGGGAGCAAGCGAGTGGGGCAGGAGGGGAGCTTGGAGGGGTGGTCGCGGGGCAGACACCCAGCTGCTAGGAAATGAGGTGGATTTAAAAAATAACAGAAGACCTTTCAAAAGTTTTAAGTAGCAGAGTGACATTATCTAATTCGTATTTTTAAAGGGTCACAATGGCTGCCATGCTGGGTCCGGATTTAGGGGTTAAGAGTAGTAAGTAAGGGGTAGAAAACAGTCAACCAGCCAGGCATGGTAGCTCACACCTGTAAACCCAGCTACTCAGGAGACCAAGGTGGGAGGATTGCCTGAGGCTGAGAGTTTGAGAACAGCCTAGACAATACCATGAGACTCTGTCTCTAAAAAAACGAGAATTAAAAAATTAGCCAGGCATGATGGTGGCATGCACCTGTAGTCCCAGCTACTCAAGAGGCTGAAGTGGAAGAATCGCTTGAGTTCAGGAGTTCAAGGCTGCAGAGAGCCATGATTGCACCACTGTACTCCAGCCTGGGTACCAGAGTAAGACTCTGTCACACGAAAGAAAGAAAGGAAGAAAAAGAAAGAAAGAAAGAAGAAAGAAAGAAAGAAGGAAGGAAGGAAGGAAGGAAGGAAGGAAGGAAGGAAGGAAGAAGGGAAGGAGGAAAGAAGGAAAAGGAAAGTGGCAGGCGCAGTGGCTCATACCTGTAATCCTAGCATTTTGGGAAGCCAAGAAGTGGGGATTATTTGGGACAAAGAGGGAGGATCATTTGAGCCCAGGAGTTCGAGACCAGCCTGGGCAACAAAGTAAGACCTTGTCTCTACACAATAAAACGAAATAAAATAAGAAAGAGAAGTTACAATAAAAGAGCCAGCCAGTTAGGAAGCTACTGCAATAGTCTAGGCAAGAGAAGATGTTGGCTGAGATCCAGGTGAGAGCAAGAGCAGGTGGGGAGAAGCGGCCAGAATGCAGAGCTGACGAGAAACCTGCACTCCACGTGCCGCGGGACCCTCGCTACACACCGGGTGTGGGTTTATAGACCTCCTTTAGTGACACTTCTAATATCAAATCCAGTTTGGCAGTTAATGTTCCAGCTAGGGATCGGAGGAGGCTAAATTAGATCCCGCCAGCCAACCCTCAGAAGCTATGACCGAGAACTCAGAGGAACCCTGGCCCCAGCTTTCAAAGGCCTCCAGCCAGGCATTACCCTTCGTTGTACCTGACTCCTGGTTGATAAGCCTTGTTATTCCCTGGATCTATCCCAGCCTCTCCATCTCCAAGGCCTCTTCCAGACCCTCATCGCACTGGATGGACAAGTGATGGCAGCCTCCCTCTTCACTGGCCTCTCTGCTTCCAGTCCTCAAATCCACCCTCCCCAGGGTTGACTGAATGAACATCCTAAAACCCAAACCTGATGGAGTCCCTTTTCTGCTGGACACCTTTCAGTGACTGCCCATGATGTCCAACATGAAACTCTAGCTTCGTATCATGAGATGCAAGACTCTCCTCCACCCAGCGCCGCCTTCTCCTCCAGCTACGCTTCCCGCCCCTCCTGCTTCGCTCCCACTTGACCCCCAGCCTTACCCAGCACTTGGTGTTCCTCCTTCCACTTCCTGTCTTGCTGGTGGGGCCTGGCTTAGGCTTCTCTCTCTGCCTAGAAAACTTCTAGGTTACTTTTATGGTTACTTCTCTCACCTCACAATTGGCTCAGGAAACACCACCTCCAGGAGTCCAGGAACCTTCCCTTGGCCTCCCCTGTCCTCTGTCCTCAGTTCACCTGGCATGTCAGTACACCTCTGCTACTGCTCTGGGGTTTTTTTGTTTTCTATTTTTTTGAGACGGGTTCTCACTCTAGTCGCGTTGGCTGGAGTGCAGTGGTGCAATCTCAGCTCACTGCAGCCTCGACCTCCCAGGCTCAAGCTCTTCAGCCTCCCAAGTAGCTAGGCCTATAGGCATGTGCCACCATGCCCAGCTAATTAATATATATATGTATATATATATATTTGTAGAGACAGGGTCTTGCCATGTTGCCCAGGCTGGTCTCAAACTCCTGAGCTCTAGCAATCTGCCCGCGTTGGTCTCCCAAAGGGCTGGGATTACAGGAGTGAGCCACTGTGCCTGACCAGCTTATCTTTATCGGCCCTGAGCTGACGAGGCTGTCAATATCAACCTCAACCCTCTTCCCAGGCTCTCTTTTCCGTCTCAGGCAGAGTTTGTCTTCAGATGCAAAGGCCTATGAGTCTCCTCTCCAGTTAGTGCTGAGACTTGGCCAGTCACAGAAGGGATTCTGATGTTGCATCCAAATAAGGTGAAGGGATTAGCTGTTGTTAAAACAGTGTGAGAGCTGCGAGTAAGGAAATATTCTCTCTGAGATAGACCCTGCTGAAATACACAACATGAGGCTTCCAAATATGAGCTACTGACTGGAAAGAAGCCTGCTTGTTATGGAGCCTGAATCTTCCTCCCCAGCCAGGGATCTAGTGATGCCAATCCTGCTGAGGTCTGGTGTTCAATGGAGGTCAGGATGCAGCCCACCTGAGATCTTAAGGGGGAGGGGGTCCTTCATTAGGTAGCAGGCATGGTTTAGTAGCAGCAACATCACAAATAATGTGTGGGACCAAGGCTTTCTGAATAGCGCTAATGTAATATGGAGAGCGAACCGTCCAAAGTCTCCGTGAGCAAGGATGGATACAAAAGAATCCGTTCAACCTTTTATCAAGAATAGTCATATAAGATCCTTTTGTAGTACATGAGCATGATGACTGAGTGATCCTGTGCACGTGTGAGATGTGCCACTCTCTGAATCTTGTTACAACATCGGCACATTACTTGCCTAACCTGAAAAAACAAATAGTCACATATGGGCCAGGCATGGTGGCTCACACCTGTAATCCCAGCACTTTGGGAGGCCAAGGTAGGTAGGCCGATCGCTTGAGTTCAGGAGTTCAAGACCAGCCTGGGCAACATAAGGAGACCCTGAGTCTACAAAAAATTAGCCAGGTATGGTGGTGCGCACCTGTGGTCCCAGCTACTCAGTGGCTGAGGCAAAGGCATTGCTTGAATCCGGAAGGTCGAGGCTGCAGTGAGCTGTGATCGTGCCACTGCACTTCAACCTGAGTAGCAGAGTGAGACCCTGTCTCAAAAAGAAAAAAAAAGAACAGTCATACAAAATATATAACTTATCTATTGCTGTGTAACAAATTATCCCTAAGCACAGAAACGTAAAACAATATTTATTTATCTCACAGTTTCTGTGGGTCAGGAAATTGGCTCTGCTGAGTGGTTCTTATTGATGGTTGCATAAGAGTTAGCAGTCAAATCGTCAGCTGGGGCTGCCATCATCTGAAGGCTTGACCGGGGCTAGAGGACCCACCTCCATGACGGCTCACTCACACAGCTAATGGCAGGAGGTCTCAGTTCCTCATGACACGACCCCCCCAGAGCAGCTTGAGTGTGCTCATGATGTGGCAGCAGCCTTCTGCAGAAGCAGGCAATCCAAGAGAGAGACCAAGACAGAAGCCTCAAGGTCTTTGTGGCCTTGGTCTTGGAAGTTGTAAACTGTCGCTTTCACTTTATTCTGTTTGTTACAAGTGAGTTGCTAAATTCAGTTTGGTCAAGGGGAAGGGAAATAGGGTCTACCTTTTGAAGGAAGTGTCAAAATTGTAGACATATCTGAAACCACCTCATCAAATCAAGAAGAAACAAGAAATCTGAAAGTCCTGAGGCTGCTAAAACTCCTGCTGCCATTAGAACAATGGGAATTTAGTATGAAGAAAAGAGTTCTAGATTGACAGTGATGGCAAGATTCACTCACTAATTCATCCATCCATTCATTCATCTACTTATTTAACAGCTATTAATTGACCATTACTGTGTGCTACAGGGCTCAACAAAAGACACCATTCTAATTAAAATAACAGTTGCTGGCTGGACACAGTGGTTCATGTTTGTAATCCCAGCACATTGGGAGGCCAAGGTGGGAGGATTGCTTGAGCCCAGGAGTTCAAGACCAGCCTGGGCAACATGGTGAAACCCTGTCTCTATAAAAAATTAAAAAATTGCCCAGATGTGGTGGTGTGTGCCTGTTGTCCCAGCTACTAGGGAGACTGAGGTGGGAGGATCGTGACCCTGGGAGGCGGAGGCTGCAGTGAGCCAAGATTGCATCACTGCACATTCCAGCCTGGGTGACAAAGTGAGATCTCAATAGTAATCATAATAATAACAATAACGATTGCTGGCCTTTAGCACTTACTGTGTGCCCAGTACTGCAAAGACCTTTGCATTTAATTATCCCATTTAATTATTCCAATAACCCTTTGAGGTGGGGGCTGTTATTATTCCCCATTTACAAACGAGAAGCCTTAGAAAGGGAATGTCATGTACCTTCAAGGGGTAGATCTTATGATATGGACCTGTCTTAGTCTGTTAGGGCCACTATAACAAAAACACCATGAACTGCATGGCTTACAATCAACAACCGCTTATCTCTCACAGTTCCAGTGGCTAGAAGATCTTGATACCAGCAAATTCAGTATCAGATAAAGGCCCATTTTCTGGTTCACAGATGGCGTCTCCTAACGGTATCCTCATGTAGTTAAAGGGGTGAGGGGGTCTCTCTAGAGCCTCTTTTATAAAGGTACTAATCTCATTCATGAGGGTTTCACCCTTCTGACCTGTCACCTCCAAAAGGCCCCACCTCCTAATACATCACTTTGGGGGTTAGGATTTCAATGTGTGAATTTGGGAGGGGGCCAGATCACAGACATCCAGGCCATAGGCAGAAGGAAAGGACTCTGACCTTAAAGTCTGCGTGTTCACACCACTACACTCTAGTAAGTGACAGGTATTATTACTATTTTAATAATGGATTCCTGTTAGCCGAAGACTCTGAGGCTCAGAGAGGATGAGTGATTTGTCCAAGGTTGTTTTTGGCAGAGCCGAGCTGCAAAGCCAGTTCCCCAGAGTACCAAGTCTGTGCTCTTTCTTCTCACTTGCTTAAAACGGAGTCCTTTCTGTCCTGCTTCCTGCAAAAACAGAGCTAAGATGGAAAAGGGCCCAGGAGGCTGGAGAGGAGTGTGGGAAAGGGGGAAATGATTGCTGGTGCCTGGAAGCTTTCACAAGCGTGGATTTCTCTTGGTTGGTTGAAGACTAGATCAGAATCTCTCCAGAGGCTGCTGTGAAGATGCTGTGGAATTCCTGGTGTGTCTGATGAGGTGTTGCAGCACCGAGGCTGTCAGACAGCTTGCTCTCTGCAAAAAGCTCCAGACCCTGTTGCTGCCACAGGGAATGAGGTCAAATGTAGCTAAACGTTATGGAGCCTTTGCTGAGCGTCAGGCACGGTGCTAAGGTGTGCACATTTACTCAGTGTCCTCATGGCCACACACAAATCAACACTGTTCATTATTCCCATCTTAAGAGGAGGAAATTGAGGTACAAAAGGGACGACTTGGGCCAGGTGTAGTGGCTCAAGCCTGTAATCCCAGCATTTTGGGAGGCTGAGGCGGGTGGATCACTTGAGGTCAGGAGTTCAAGACCAGCCAGGCCAACATGGTGAAACCCCATCTCTACCAAAAATACAAATATTAGCCAGGTGTGGTGGTGCATGCCTGGAATCCCAGCTACTCAGCAGGCTGAGACAGGAGGACAGCTTGAACCTGGAAGGCAGAGGTTGCAGTGAGTCAAGATAGCATCACTGCACTGCAGCCTGGGTGTCTGTCTAAAAAAAAAAAAAGAGAGAGAGAGAGAGAAAATACAAAAAGGATGACTTGTCTGCGTGCACATAGATATAGGGTTTCAGGTGGGTTAATTGGGGTTCAGAGAGTTGGTAAGCTGTAACAGTTTAAGCCCAGAGTCCTGCAGCGAGGGGGCCTGATTTCATGGGCCCTAGGCAATCTTGCGTTTGTGGGTTTCTTCCCTCCATAAAAAAAATTTAACATTATATTTTATGACTATGTTGGAATGAAGTTAAATCTAATCCAGACTACAGTCACTATTTTTTAAATGTATTTTTTATTTTTTAATTTTTAAAAATTTAACAATAGAAATGAAGTCTCACTATGTTGCCCAGGCTGGTCTCGACCTCCAGGAGTCAAGTGATCCTTCTGCCTTGGTCTTCCAAAGTGCTGGTATTACAGGTGTGAGCCACTGTGCCTGGCTGAATTCACCATTATATGCTCATCATTGTTATATTTATGTTTTTCTTCTGGGTTTAAAACAAATTAAAATAAAACAATGTTATTAAAATAAAATAAAGCCTCATGGGCCCTGTGCTTGCTGTGTCTGATGGGGAACATTGGCCTTGTCAAGTGAGTTCTGATTCTCCCAAGTGCTGACTGCATGATCTTGGCAAACTTTGCCCTTCTGTGCCTCACTTTATATAATATGGGAATAAATGGTAAACTCTATTGTATGTGGTGATTATGAGGATGAAGTGAGCTAATATACGTAAAATGCTCAGCACAGTGCCTGCCATAAATGAAAATGCTCAATCAATTAATAAATGTTAGTTAATTTTTTTCGTGTTTAAGTGCCTTGTACTGGTCCCACAGCTAGCAAGTGGTAGAGCTAAGAGTGTACCCTACATTTAACTGACTGTCACTGTCAAACCTCCAATCTGACCTCCTCAATGCGATGAGAGAATAAATGGCAGAACAGAACTGAGAATTGGGCTACAGTGAATTTTTTCCCCAACTAAAATAGAGTCAACACGTTGTACATTTTCCAGGAGGGTCTCTATGTGACTTTACGAGCTGTGTGACCTTCAGCAAGTTGCTCAACACCATTGGGCTTCAACTGCCTCATGGAAATTGTTGACTAATCTCATCCTCATGGTGTCTTTTAACATGCTCCTCTATCCCCTGCTGTTCACATCATCTGATAATTAAATTGAGAAGATTAATGAGATTCAGCTAGATTTATGTTTTTGGCAGGGATACTTTACTGGTGGTGCTGTCTGTAACGGTTAATTTTGTGTGTCAACTTGGAGGATGTATTTGGATGAGAATAACATTTAAATCTTTGAGTGAGCAGGCTGCCTTCCATAATGTGAGTGGACCTCATCCAATCAGATGAAGGCCTGAATAGAACAGAAAGTCTGGCCTCTGTGAGCAAAGAGGAATTTTCCAGAAGACTGCCTTTGTACTGAAACGATACCACCAGTTCTCCTAGGTCTATAGCCTGTCAGCCCACATTGCAGATTTGGGACTTGCCAGCCTCTGTAATTGTATGAGCCAATTTCTTATAATAAATTTCTCTCAGCCGGGCGCGGTGGCTCACGCCTGTAATCCCAGCACTTTGGGAGGCTGAGGCGGGTGGATCACGAGGTCAAGAGATCGAGACCATCCTGGTCAACATGGTGAAACCCCATCTCTACTAAAAATAGAAAACATTAGCTGGGCGTGGTGGTGCGTGCCTGTAATCCCAGCTTCTCAGGAGGCTGAGGCAGGAGAATTGCCTGAACCCAGGAGGCGGAGGTTGCGGTGAGCCGAGATCGCGCCATTGCACTCCAGCCTGTGTAACAAGAGTGAAACTCCGTCTCAAAAAAAAAAAATAAATAAAAAATAAAAAATAAATTTCTCTCTCACCCTCTCTTTTTCTCACTGTTAACATTTGGGTATGTTTCCTTCCCACTTAAAAAAAAATTAACACAGTTGAGATCACTTTACATAATTTTGTCTTCTGCCTTTTAAATTTAATATTATAACAAATTGCACTTCTTCATATTATAAACCTTATAACCATTATTCCTCTTTTCTAATCATAAAAGTAGGATTATTGTAGGACATTTGAAAAAGACAAAAAATGAGCTGGATGCAGTGGCTTATGCCTGCAATCCCAGCA